GGGTTTTACGGGAGTTTGCTTTAATAACAAAGGGAGCATTGGGTCTAGTGGTATTAAGCAGCACTGTCCTAAGTATGTGGCTTTTTTTTTTTTTTTTTTCAAAACAGACTTCCAAGTAAAGAGAGCACCTTCAGAAAGATTTGTAATTCTGGGCCCAGAGGCTGCTTACGCACAACTTCTTGCTCACTGGCAGGCTTTAGAAGTGGGTTTTCAGACTGGGTAGCTTTCCACAGCTTTCAAGGGAGCCTCCAGAGAAAAACTATCTTTAAACTTCATTTACACGTCAACACAGAGTAAGAAAGCACCCTGAGTAAAATCCAAACAGAAGGCCTGCATACCTTTTATCACTGTTTGTACATGGAAAGTTCCTAGACCACTGATGGAGGGCCATTGATCTCCAGTCAGGTGACCATGGGAACTAGAGCTTCCCTTGGAGTTTAGATTTTGCTTACAAAGGCCCTATGGGGTGGAGGTCAAAACTGTTTTCTAATTCTACTGCCTTTAGATTTATATAATAAGGGCAAAGATGGCCCACCTTTGAAAGTGTTTATAGTTATGTCTGCTGCAGGTGTTTTGTGGAATTCTGCTTTTCATATGCAACAGAGAGGGGAACAGGTTCTTAGTCTGGAAGCAGGGTATGGGGGAAGAGGTTTCCCCACCTGAATTTGGAAGGTCTGTTTCAGGGGAAAAGTCTATAGTGGAGGCCAGCAGCGCTCCAGTTCTTGGTGGTGCAAATTGCTTCAAAGCAGCATAAGTTAATGCTGCCACTCTGCTACCCAGAGCCATCCTGCCTTGAGCATCTGGATTGGCCAAGGATTTGTTCTACCGTTTTCTTAAGCTTGCATGAACTTCTGGCTTAAATGAAATGTTGGGTGAACAACGGTTCAGGTCTTGGGCCAGCTCTTTATTGCCCAGTCCATTTATTCATTTAACCAGCACTTACTGAGTACCTGCTGAGTGCCAGGCACCGTCAAAGATGCTGTAACTGCAGCGGTAAGTACAACAGACCAGAATCCCCTTCTGCTGGAGGCTTGTATTCTGCTGGGGGGAGGCAGACAGTAACAGCGGATTATCTGAAAGGTGGCAGGTGCTAGGGAGAAGAGATGGACAGAGAGAGGCAGAGAAAGAAGGGTGGAGGGTGGGAGATAGACGGAGATGGGGAAGAGAGTTGAGGAGGACAGTGTAGGAGGGGCAAAGAGAGTGACACCATGAGACCTTTGAGTTTCGTTGTCTTGAATGTAAAGAGAGATCCAATTAAGACCATCTTGTGACTTTCACATTTGATTTATTAAATAATCCCACCTTTATGTAGCTTTATTTGAAGGAGTTTGGGGCCCCCAATGATTGTTTGCCTAGATGAGTTGAGTTTTCCTAACTACTTCTTAGTCTAAAACTCCATTTCTGCTGGGATTGGCACCAGTCACATCCAACGTGGTTTCTTCAAAATAGAGACACTTGGAAGCATTTTTCCCTGGGTGGAAAGGACACTCCAGTGTTAGTGCAGAGGCCTAGGCTAGAGCTGACCTGCCATTAACTTGCACCAGTCCTTTTCACACATCCTCTGGGCTCTTCTGGTCATCTTCTCTGTCACAGAGAGAGGATTGGGTTGAAAGCATGACAAAAGTTTTTTTTTCAGGATCAAAAATGAGAGATATCTACCTTTTGTTAGATTCCTACAGTGTGTGTGTGTGTGTGTATGTGTGTGTGTGTGGATAGATAGAAATAGATACAGGAATTAAGTTTCAATTTCACTTTAAAGCCAGGGTAGCCCAAATTCAATGTTTTTTTAGATAAAAAGGATGAAAACTCAATCTTTAGGGGTCCTGGGCAAAATGTAACCAAAAGGGTATTTTCATGTACTTTTTAAAGAGAAGCTTTATAACTAGGTCACTGCTGGCCATGCACTATCCCTGTGCTAGTTAACTTTCTAGCTAGTATTTATAGGGTCAAGACTAATTTGTAGAATAATTTGTTAGTGTCAGCATTCAATAAGTATCCTTTCATAATTGAAAAAAAATGCTAATAATTTGTTAATGTATGTACCAGAACCCTGTTCTGAGCCTGTCCCATGTATTTATTCATTTTGCCATCTGTGCTGCAAAAACACAGAGATCGTAGCAGCCGAAGGCCAGAATAGTGGGAAGGTTGAATCACCCGCCCAAGGTCAAATAGTGAGTTGCAGAGTCAGGATTTGAATGGAGTTGGCTCTAACATCTGTGCTCTCCATCATCATGCTGTTCCAGCTTCTGTGCATCAGGGATCAATTGGAACCATTCACCAGAAAGGTTCACCTATGACATTTTAAAGCAAACCTCATGGAACTGACCCATGTTACTTGGACCCCTGGATTTCTCAGATTTGTGCTTGATCCAACTTTTAATAATAGCAGTTTCTGGTGCAACTCTAAAATATCAGGACTTTAGACCTACTACAGTTGACCCTTGAACAAAGACTGCGTATTACAGTTGAGCCTTGAACAACATAGGAGTTAGGGGCATTAGCCCCCCACGCAGTTGAAAATACACATATAAGTGTGTAAACATTTGATTAGCACATATTTTTTATGTTGTCTGTGTTACATACTGTATTCTTACAATAAAAGCGAGCTAGAGAAAATGTTATTAAGGGGATCATAAGAGAAAATAAACTTACAGTACTATAAAAAAATCTATGTGTAAGTAGACCCACGCAGTTCAAGCCTTTGTTGTTTAAGGGTGAACTGTATGTGATTCCTTATATAAAATGTCCAGAATGGGCAAATCTGTAGAGATAGAAAGCAGATTTGTGGTCACTTAGGGGCAGGAGGAATGGGGAGTGATATGTGACTAATGGGTACAGAGTTTCTCTCTGGGGTGCTGAGAATGTTCTAACGCTGGGTACAACTCTGGGTATACTAAAAACCATTAAATTGTACACTTGAAAAGGGTGACTTGTGTAGCTAGTTATATCTTGTTAGGTAGTTAGAAATAAGGGGGATGTGAGGACTTTCCTCTGTTATATTTAGTTCATTTTAAATTGAAGTTTCTTATTTTAAAGATTTTATTTATTTACTTAGAGAGAGGGGAGAGGAGAGGGAGAGGGACAAGCAGACTCCACACTCAGTATGGAGCCTGACACAGGGCTCGATCTTATGACTCTGAGATCAAGACCTGAGCCAAAATCAAGAGTGGGACACTCAACTGACTGAGCCACCCCGGTACCCCTAAATTGAAATTTTTTTAAACAAGGATTGAAAAATATAGGAAGACTCCTCTTCCTTTTATGACTTATAAACATGAACAGGAAAGTGAAGACTGAATTGACTGTATACCCCAGCATTTTGAATTTCTTATATTGACTTGATAGTAGTAATTTAATGTTATTTGAAAACATTGACTTATATTATTAAAATGTTTTAAATACTGCAGTATCTGATTATTAAAAAGTAATTTTATATCTGTTACTGAAGAAAATCCCTCAAGTATATAATCTTGTTTAGTGCATAGAATAATTTCAGGGCAGAAACATCTGACTTGCTCTCACTAGTCTGTCTCATCCATTCTGCTGTCTCTGAGAATAATGAGTTATTTTGCTTGGATTTGAACTTGAGGTTAGAGAGGTCTTTTGAAGCTATTTTTTCTAAGCTTTTATCTGAATTTCACTCATTTTTAAATTATTCATTAATTTTTCTAAAAAGCTATTTCTAATTTTAGATTGTGCTACCTCTTAATAGTTGCAGATTTAAGTTTATAAAGAAGCATTTTATTTTGCCATGGTTTTTAATTTTTAAGCCTCAGGGTAGCACCCTAGGTCCATTGTTTTAGGATTTGGTGAACCAAGGTACTAGCTCACCCCGTCACGTTTCACAATATTGTGTATCTTGTACATACTCATTCATTGACCAAATAGTTATGAGTGCCAGCTGTGTGCCAGGATGCAGCCATGACCTAGATGGATGCCCAGCCTTGCCCTTGGTGAGCTGAACTCTGCTGGGGGAAGCCTGGCAGTCTTAATCTTGTAAGAATGTCCTCATGTAGCCATCCTTGCCTCGTTATCCTGGTGGTTACCTTTATGTGCATCTTTGTCACCTCTCTTGGGCCTTACTTATGGACAGTGATTGGCACTGGGCAGCTATCAGATCTCTAGGTTTTGTGCCAAGGTGTGTTAATATTAGCCATGCCAGATTTTGTGTGGTTGCTTTTTTCATGAGCCCGGCAAAAAAGATCCCATAAATATCCACAGTCACCTAGTTGATGTGGTTCACCTCCCAGTGACTTCATACAGATCTCTTTGTGTCATTAACTTTGAGAAATAAAATAACTAAAGCATCACTTAGTTTTCTGTTGTTGCAATAGTCTTCACAAGTCTAAATCCTTGCATTAAAATATTGTGTATGTTCTGAATACGATGCTTTCATTTATGCCTGAATTGTGATGAATATGCATTATTTAAATGAAGTATAAACTTTCCCTGGAAAATACTGATCAAATCAAATCTTGCTAATTTGATTTCCATCAAGTCCATGCCACTTTAAATTGCCTCAATTTGGAGAAGACTGAATTCTTAAAGGCGAAAAGAGTGTGAGTTCAGTTGTCTACCCTTTTTACCAATCTGCTTGGCTGCTTCTAAATTATCTTTAAAAATTAAGAAGTGTGGAAATTTGAGGACTGGTGCACAATTACTAAACAGTGCATTTTTTGAGATGACGATTTGAACGCTATGAATAACCATTCTGGGGGTATGTGTAGCGTCTCCCACTGAGCTCCCCCAAGTATACTTAGCTGCCCTTTTCTGTTCTTGCCCAGTTCCCTATACATTTGTTGGAGCTCTTTCACGTGACCTGTGCTGTGTGCTGTGGTAAGTCCCTTGTGTGTCTCGTTCCCCCTGGAGACTACTACGGAAATGGGGCCTGTCGAGCGTAGTACCATTTGTTCTCAGTTGCAATATTTAAATCTCAGATGCCGCATTGTTGGAAATTGCATACAAAATCTGCTGATATTGAATGTTGTCTTTTTTGCTAGAGTTTCCAGTATGGCTTCTGCACCAACTTCTAAGTATAATTCACACTCCTTGGAGAATGAGTCTATTAAGAGGGTAAGTTTTCAGATTTAATTTGTACCCCTTTCTCTGCATTTCTCTTCTCATATTTGCATATTAGGTGGTCATTTCGGGCTTATTGAATTATTAATTTCATTATTCACATAATGTACGTTCTTCAATATATGTGGTTTTCTTTAATATCCTACTTTGTTCCAGAAAAGGCAGAATGCCATATATGTGTTAAGTAAGTTTTGCATTTCTAAATCCTTTCACGTAACTTCATTTTTGAGAACCTTTGTTTTGTGAACTGCTGCCAGACATTATATTTAAGATACTAGGCAATCTCTGGGCCTTAAAAGCTTCCTGAAGGAGATATTGGAAGGCCAAGGCCCACTGAAGAGGCTCTCACACCTTCCGAAATATTGGCCTTATTTTCTAATATGATGCTAAAATAGTTGTATGAGCGAAACGAATACAGCGTCAAGAAAAAGTTGTTCAAAGTATCGAGGAGAAAATTGTGTAATTAGAGGTTGATTTTGAAACATATATTGAAAGGAAGGGGCGAATTTAAAATAAGCTTTATTCATGGCCCTTTGAAGCCTTGGATACATTTACCAATTATCCACCAGAAAGGTTCATTTACACTCCCACCAGCAGTGTACAGGGATGCCTAAGCAATCAGAAGGGAGCCAACTAGTGTTTTTTAATTTGTAGCTCCCTGAGTACTAATGAGGATGACCTTTTTTTAAAAAATAGTGTTTATTATCCATTTGTATTTCTTTTTTGAAGTGGCTGTTCATGTCCTTTGCCTGTTTGCTTTATGGTGTGTTTCTATTGATTCATAAGTGTTCTTTACATATTATGATAATCAGCTCTTTATAATATACATTACAGGTCTTTTTCCTAGCTTATCATTGGCCTTTGAATTATATTTGTGGCATTTTGATTTTGAAATACAGAGGTTTAAGTTTTTTATGGGATCACATCTATCATTCTTTTGTATTTCATATTTTCTGCTTTGGGTGTCATGTCTACAACGACCTTTTTCATCCCCAAGATTTTATAAGTTTTTATTGTATTTGGTATCCTTATGGTACAAGGATCATTCCTAAACACAAGAGTTACTTCATGGAGCTAATTGTAAGTCCTTGACTCTAATATAAAGTATATCCTATGTTAATCCCATGTTATCCATGTTAATCAAACATCTGTTTCCCTAATTTTCTGGTTGAATTGTACTTTCTTCTCCTGACCCCGAACTGTGGCCCTTAAAAGGTATACTGAGTATTACATCTGCTCGTTATACTTGTTTTTAGTTAGTGAGGGGCGGCGTTAAAGGATGCTGGTGATTTCTTTCCAGTCTTACCATTTATATAAGTTGTGTGGTTTTGCTCCCCATGGGGGAAGGCATTTCTGGCTGGCAACAATTGGTCTTGCCCTCCTAGTTAAAATGCTTAGCTTACAAGTACTAAAAGATTGAAAAATGGTTAGGAATTTTCATTTTGTGCCTGAATAAAAATGATAAAACCATTAAAAATCCAGCAGAGCACCCAACTTTGACAGCTTATATCTTACTTAAATACACAATTCACAGTTCTCTTATTGTATAATACTTTACATTTGCATAGGCCTTGATAATTCACAGAAGTGTGCTTGTGCATTTTGTTTCACTTAATAGTCACAAAAACCCTCTGTGGGAAGTATATACTAACTTCGCACACGAAATGATTGCCCTCCTAGTTAAAATGCTTGACCGCCCTTTCCTCTTTATATAGTGACCTATGCGAGGAAGGATCTCAGTAAAATAAGAAACCTGATACGTTAAGAAGTAACATATGGGAAGATTCTGACATTATGGGAAGATTCTGTAATTACTGTTGTTCAGTTAAGGCCCCCTTGAAATGAACTTTTCATTTCTGCTGTTAACATAAGATGACTAAATATTTAATATGGAAAAAAATGCCAAAGTATGCATGTGTCTATAGAATATGCTTAATATTGACTTTTTATCACTTTTCTGAACAGTGTTCACTGTAAAGCTCCTGGAAGGGGTATTTAAAAATTAATATTGAAAAGTGTGCTAATGTTATTTACAGACTAAAAGTTAACACAGCTAATGAATATTGAAGCTAAGTTGTATTTTTTGGTCGTTTGTTTTTTTCTGTGCCACTTTTCTGTAACGATAAATATCACTCTAATTTTTTTCTTTACAAAGTATATTTCTGGTTGGTTGTGTTCCAGGTTGCTTAAAAATCTGCAAATGTAATGTTATTCCTCTGATGCCCTGTTTCGTTTCCAGACTTCTAGGGATGGAGTTAATCGGGACCTCAGTGAGGCTGTTCCTCGACTTCCAGGAGAAACTCGCATCACTGGTAAGGGTCCTGTGAAGTTAGGATTTGCATTACTTGATGAGAATCCCAGCAGGATCAGGTGGCGTCAATCCCTCTTTCTCTTTAGAACTCAGATTTAGGTATATAGGCTAGCTTTGTTTAAAAGTGTTAACATAAGGAGAACTCTCTGCATTAGTTTCTTGATCAGAGTTCTTTGAAGAGTTTCATGCTATCCAGGATAGTCATATTTTCCCCTCTGTACCCAAGATAGAATTATTTTGGAGAAAAAAAAAAAGTGGATTCTCTCTCGAATGTCCTTATTGGAGCTCTAAGCTCTCATGGTTTGAGGTTTTAAGAACCAAGTAATAGTAAGGTTTTCCAGCCTAGGTTGTATGCCTTAAAATGATCAACCTAAAGACTTAACGTCTAAATAGTCTTCTCTTTGAAATATAGGAGACCATACTGGTTTATGATAGCTTTTGTTTGTCCGATAACTGGCGTTAGTAATATTGATGCAGTATTTCGATTGTAGACTTGTCTTTTTCATGATAAATTCATTCTAAGAGGAAGGGATCTACTTTGGAAGGGCCAGGTCATTCTGGCTTAAGAATACAGGAGCATCTGACAACTTCTAAGCCAAATGCTGATGTTGTGGGCATTCACATTTTATATTAGGGCTGACACCCTTGCCTCAGATTACCATGTATTTGGTGGTGATACAGTTACCATCGTTTCAGGGAACCTTTTGGTTTGTTCACTAAGGTCTGGGTTGTTTAGCTTCAATGGCTAAAACATGGTGTAAGACATGGTGCCTTTGTGAGTTAGTTAGCCATGCACCATGAGAAACTCTTCCGTATCCACAGACTTGCACACGATGCTAGTCTTGAAAACCAGTGGCATGTGTCCATCCCAAATTCTGGATAAGAGCAAAGAGGATAGCTTACTTTGGGTGGCCTTCATATATGAAATTTTGGTGCTCTGCATCAGCATCAGAAGCTTAACCGAGGGAGTCCTGTATTGAATTAGCATGAAGTCACCTTACTGGGTATTTTTCATTTAGCACCCGAGGAGAAAGGGATTTCAAAATTGTTAAGAAGAATTAAAAGCCGTTAACACATTCAAGGACATCCTTGAAAGATAACAGAAAGATCTTTTTATGATAATAAATTAAGTCTCCTGATTTAGTCTCTCCTTATGTTTGAGTCTACTAAAGATGTACTATTCTCCTGGCCATCTGTTTTCTGTCCCTTAAATGATCGAAATGAGTCTAGCTAAAAACTCTTCTCTGGACTATTAGAAAGAGTAGACTGTAGGAATATTTCTACCACTGACGTTTGTTTATTTAAAACATCATGATGTTTGCATGATCAGAGGTTGGCCAACCTCAAACCCTATCTGGCAGTTAGTCCACGAGACTGTCCTGCCTGAATGGCCGTCCTCTAGTTGAAGTAGCTCCGTAGTTACCTTTACAACCACCTTCACTTCTGCTCTCTAGCTGTTACCACCTTGCCCTCCGTGGTGCCAGCATTTTGGTCAAGCTCAGGGAAGCAATGCCGGTACCTGGAGGTGACCTGTGGCCCCACTTGACCCGGCACGGTAATGTAGAAACGCGGCCAGTGCCCGCCTTTCAACCTTTCCAGGGATCTTTTTTTACTGTAGTTATTCTTAGCCACATAGTTGATATTAAATGAGTGCCATTTGTTGTGTATCTTGGTATATATTTCCATTATTTTAGGGTACTTTTTTTATCTTAATAGACAAAGAAGTTATTTACATATGTCCTTTCAATGGCCCCATTAAGGGAAGAGTTTACATCACAAATTATCGTCTTTATTTAAGAAGTTTGGAAATGGTAAGTAGAATCTAAGACCATAAAGATGACCCTAACTGTTAAAGATAATGCTAAACTGTGTCTCTTCTACCTGGCAACGTTGCCTGTGGATCAGATTAACATGGGGGATGTATTTGCTTCTCGGCTCTTAATTTTTGGCTTATGCAAAGCTCATTTACCACTAACACCTGTGTACGTAGGAATAGTGTGGATTTAAAAAGTAAGAAGTTTGAGCTCTCAGAACATAGGGGAGGCGTTGGTAACTGGACCCATTCGCTAGTTTGGAGAAATTAGTAGAGAACAGTGGTTCTTTACCAGAAGCACAGACGAGAACCACCTGGGGTGCTTAACAGACACTACAGATGCCCTAGATGTCCTGCATCACAGTGTCCAGGCCTGTGGTCCAGGTATAGTCGTAAGTTTTAAGACTTCACAGAGGAGGATGCTGATGCGAATCCCTTGTTAAGGCCCATTGCTCTAGAACTTTCCAAGTGGTCAGTCACAAAGTACTAGACAGCGGTTTAGCACTAGGATGCCAATGGTGTGGCTTAGTGCCAATCTACCTTTTCATTCCGTGGCCGTGAAATGTGTGCCATAGCATTTCAAGGCATGTAGCACTGATGGAACAATGAGATGGGGACGAGGTGCTCCCGAAGGGAAGGGATGAGTGAAGAGCTGCGTGGCTGTCGCCGAAGGACCTACGGTGCATGCAGTGGGTCGCCATTGTCCAGGACAGCCTGAAGGGGCAGCTGTATTTGGGGCCAAGGAAGAATGGATAGGTCCAGGGTATGTGGAAGAGTAGCCCAACAGCAGTTTATACACAGGAGATGTAAAGAATGTTGGGGGAATGTAGCTTTTGTGTCATTGCTTTTACCCCATCATTTCCTTAGGACTGTGTTACTGACAGCTTGTCCTGATTAAATTGAGGCATATGACTAAGAAACATGGGCCAAATGGTGGTGGTACATCTAGATGGAGTTACAGACTGGATTAAAGCCTTGATACCAACCAGGAAGGGCGGTAACGAATGTCTTGCTGTATAGGGCCCCTCCTCTGCAGTGTGTCTAATGCAATGCAGTTGAACCCATAGGAAGTATGCATGTCCCATATGTGAAAGACTGCGAAGTAGCCAATGTGCTAGACGACGCAGTTGCGATTTGAAACTGTCTTAATGGACTAGGATATTGGCGGGAAACTAATGATACATTTCATGTAGATAACATTTACTTTATACAAACCTGTTGTACCAACAAAGGATGGAGGAGGTCAGGTCTGTCTTAATAGGGGCTCAAGCTTATTTGATCCAGTAATTGGGCATGACTGCTGACAAAGTTAATATCCCCGTAGGCTTAACTAACAAAATATAATATAATGGCCAGCAAAATGAGACTGTAGTCCCATCTGAAGTGTCGTGTTCAAATCCAGGTGCCATGTTTTAAGAGGGACATTGGCAAACCAGCGAGGGTTCAGACAGAGGGAACCAGGCTTGTGAAGGGGCTGCAATATGAGCGATGATTGAAATAAGTGTTGATGATTCATCTGAAGAAAAGAAGACGGAAGGGAGGCATGACAGAGCTACCTTGGAATGTCTGAAGTGCCTTCTGTGGAGCAGGGATCAGACTCATTCTGTATGGCTCCCAAGGGTCAAATTGAGACAGATTGAGAGATTTTATGCTAATATATGCAAGAGTCATCAAAAATGAGAATTAAAGCAAGTGTTACGGTGCCTTTCTCCTCTGAGACTCTTGGCTTGTTGGCCGGCCACGCATGCCCGGTTCCATTTTGTGCTGTCACTGATGATGAACTGGGGAAATTTTTAAAACTCTGATGCCATGACAAGATTGTACGATCTCAACTGCATAAACCAAGCAAAACCTGTCTGTAGAAAAGAGGCCGGAAAGAAATAACAGCAGGTGTGTTAGTACTTGGGAGATCTGGAGAGTGGACTTATGCATGCTCTGTTTTCTCCTCTCCACTTGGAATGAGCACGTGGGACTTTTGGAATTAATTGGGGAAGCACTTAGCAAGCTTTAGTTGGTTTTCATATGGCATAGTAGAAGGTGGGGATTAGCACCGAATGGGTGTATAAAAGGCCCATTGGACACTGACTACTAACTTGTTTCTTCTTCCACTGTTTTACATAAACATTTTGACCAATCGGCTATAACATTTAGTCCAAGTATAAAAGCAAGAAGCTAATGGCAGAAAACATCCTTTAAAGAAAGCCACGTAAGTGGTTATGCAGAAGCCTCAAAACATAGTCATCATAGTGTTTCTTAAAGCCCTAAATAAGAGTATCAGTTGTGGATTCTGCTGCACACTGTGTGTTTGACAAAGAGCTATCCTCTTATTGGCATTTTGAAGTGGACACCTGTTGGTTTCAGGTAGGTAAACACTGCTGCAGGAGCGCGGTCTGACACGGGAGTCCACAGTCCCACTTCGTTGAGGTGTCAAGGGCAAGGTTTCCTGCCCGCCCCGTTCCCCAGGACAGTAGAAGCACAGTGGTTGTTTCCTTAGACTGTCCCTGTGGCCCTCCTGCGTGGTCATCCCCCCTCTACTCTGCCCTGCATGCTGCCTCCAGAGTGATCCTCCTTAGAACTAGGCCGGCCAGCTTACTTCTCCAGTCTAAAACTCTCATTGGCTCCCTGTGGCCCACAGAATAAAATCCACTGTCCTTTACATGGCATAAAAATCCTTGTGACTTGTCTTGCTTCAGCTCCCGCCACTGCTGCCCATGCTGTTTGTCCAGAACCCACCTCAACAATCATACCCTCTTCCGAGCCTCCTCCAGCTTCCCGTGAAGGAGCCCCTCCCTCTTCGTGTCCCCACAGCCTTTTCCCACGCCTCTCCGTTAGCACTTAGTGCTCGTGAGCAGCCCGCCCCCCACCACCAACACGTCCTCTTTCCATGTTTGTTTGTTTCTCCTGAGCACTTGCCTCCGCCTCCTTTTTTATATATGTCACTGCTTCATCTTGTTCCTTGGCTGTCTGAGGACAGGGATGCTTGTCTGTCTGTCTCCCCACCCCCCACCCCCGTGTCTCCTCAGTGCGGAGGGCAGAGCCTGGCACATTGAAGAAGTTCAGGCGGGCTGCTGAACGAAGGAACTCTGGTCTTTTTTCTTTGCTGCCATGTGTCTTTGGCCTTTACTAATGCTGAGTCCTTTGGGTCCAGTAGACAGTAGGCACTCAGTAAAAACGTGTTCTGTGAGTGAACTTGGGAGGGGACAGGCTTCATCGCTGTGCTTTGACTGCCATGCGGACCTCACTAAATTGTGGCATCTCGAATACCAACCGTGTTTCTGGAGTTTGGAAATGTCATAGCCCCCTTTTGACCTTGAGGGTGCTCAGGAATTTGGCGGGGGCACTTTAGGCATGTAATATTCTGTAATCTGTAACCAGGGGGAAGACTGCTTCAGCTTCCTTTCCAGGAACACTTTGGGTTCAGCTGCTATAGTGGGTGAGAAAGGCGAAGTAACCCTTTGTTCGTTCATGTGCTCATAACTTTATTCCGGAACCTTCAGCAAGCAGCACGGTGAACTAACACTGAGCTTGGTGAACGACACAGAGGCGAGTAATTGGGGTGTATTATGACAAAGCCTGCTGTGGTTGTGTAACATTGTGAGGTTATGAAGGAGACGGTGATTAGCCGAGTGATGGGTCCTAGCATGCTTTGTAGAGGAGGTGATATTTGAACCGAGTCTTGAAGAATGGTAACAATTTCCTGGACAGGAGGGGAGAGAGGGAGGAGCATATCAGGTAGAGCGTTTCCCTCGCACTTGTGTGACGATGTGGAGAAGACCACATACTGTGGCAACAGCTGAGTGGTCTGTTGGAGCTGGAGCACAGGGTGGAGGGGGAGTGGGGTGGCAGGAGATGAAGCCGGAAGAAGAGTCCGCCCCAAGAGTCTCGCAAGTCACGGGTCAGCAGTGCACACCTTATGGGGAGGACCACATGTTGGATGTGGGTTTCTGGAAGGGGCGTCCAGTTGCAGTGTGTCTAATGGATTAGGGAGGGGGACTGGAGGCGGGGAGAGCAGTGGAAAAGTTAGTTGTTCAGGTGGGCAGCCAGGGCCTCGCACAGTTGTCTTTGCAACAGGAGGAAGAGCACAGAAGGTTCAGGAGCATGGGGTGGCCATTTGGAGGCGGGAGTTAGAGGAAGGACTCGAGTTGAGAATGATGCCTGTGATCCTTTGCCTTTGAAATGGACCTCACGGGAGAAGGAACACGTCGGAGATGAGTCCCTCGGGATTCTCGGAACATGTGGACTTAATAACTATACAGCCACTGAGTGGAGAAGTCTCCGAAGCATTTGGAAACGTGACTCTGAAGCTCGTGAAGTTGTTAGCACATCAGTGTTGGTGAAAGCCGCATACATCCACGCGATTACCTGAGAAGAAGATGTGACAAGGAGATGCGCGCTGAGCCACACGAACATTCTCCCGGGGTGGGGGGGTGGGGGGGAGCCCCAGGGCCAACTGAGAAGAGAAAGCAGGAGCGGTGGGAGCAGGAGAAAATCTGAGCAAAGGCTTTGGTGGAAGTTGGTAGAAGAGAAAAGACTCAGAAAAGAAGGGAGGGGACCACGGACAAAATGCTGCAAGACTCAGCAGGATAGAGAATGAGCAGAGGCCACAGAGGGTGGTCATTAGGTCACTGGGAGCCCCGGTGGGAACCCATTCAGTGGAGACGCCAGTCTGATTGGTCTCTTGCTCCTCCTTCCACCTCCCAGGGGTCTGCATGCTTCTTTCTAGTCCTGCTCCTCCCCAGGGCTTCCTCTGCTCCCCGGCAGCAGTCTCTTCTGTCAGGAGAACACTGCATGCTGGCCGCGCTCCTTTCCACACGCTGTCCCCCATCTGGCCACAACTGACAGAGCCATCCCCTAGTCACCCCTGGGCTTTCTTGGGTTTCAAGGGCTGCCTTTCTTCTGGCCCCTTTCTCATTTTTTTTTTTAAGATTTATTTATTTTTGAGAGCAAGAGCAGGTGGGGGGGAGGGAGAGAAGGGACAGAGGGAGAGAATCCCCAAAA